GGTGGCACGCCCCGCACTAAAAAAAGAAGAAGGACCAAAAAACTCCTTCAATCGGCCTACCCGGCCGAAAAGAGGGAAACACCTACTAAAGATGAATGTGCCTTTTGTGGTAAAAGGGTCACTAGAAGAAAAACTGCCCCAAATTGAAGAAAAAAGAGAATGAGAAGGAGAAAGAGAGTTCTGAAGCAAATGTTGCAAAATTGAGAGATGATGATTTCAAGTTTGCTTTGGCTCGCTCATTTGTTGATGGTCACTCTACAAAGTGGATTTTGGATTCAGGTTGCACATATCATATGTGTCCCATTAGAGAATGATTTTTCTAACTTCGATGAGCTAGATGGTGGAGTTATTTTGATAGGCAATCATAATGCCTGCAAAATAAAAAGGATATGGAAAATCTGCTTAAAGATGCATGATGAAACAGTTACACTACAACAACAAAAAGGGTCATTACCAACCAATATTTTCCGAGGGCCCTGAAATTCCCTCAGTAAAAGTGTTTTTTCCAACCGAACAATGTTGTCCGTCGAAAATATGTCACGGGCCTGAAATTTATTTCCGACAAAAGAAATACTCTCGGAAAAAATATCTATTGTTATCGGAAATGCATTTTATTTGGTGGGAAAACTTGGCGCCAATTTTATTAACGACCAAAAGTACGTTTGTCGGAAATAGAATGATTATTTTCGAGGGGTTTTTCATTCCGTCGGAACTGTTTGACTATTTCCGAAGAGCCTCTTATTTCGTCGAAATTGTTTGACTATTTCTGAGGGGCTTTTCCTTTCGTTTGAATTGTTTGACTATTTCCGAGGAGAAATACGTCCTCTCAGAAAAACGTTTGAAGGTCAATTGCTGAAAAATATATAATAAATACTTATCCCATTAATTGTGTAATCTTACATGTTAAAAGTTTCAAAGCTCATTAACATTGCCTACAGTGGCTATCATTTATTTTAGAAATAGAAGACAAACAAAATTGAAAATTAAAAACTCATCATAATTGTATATAACCAAAAATAATAATTAAAGAATTTGATTATTAATAGCCAATCACACTCTAAAACAAATAACTAAAAATAGCCAATCCAAAAAAATAAACAATCACAATTACATGAGAACTCATCCCACAATTGTAAGTAGAATTGCATCTCTTTTTCAATCAGTTTCATTGTCTTCAACATCATTTTGGATGGCATGCATGCTTCGACTTTGAGTCTCTGCTTCTTGGTATGGCTCACTCTCATCGTCCTTCATCTCCTAAACGTTTCTTGGATTTGTTTCCGCTACAAAACTCCAAATCTTATTTTTAACCCCTTTCACATAAAAAAACTTGGGTTGCTTGGCTTGCTAGTACGAATGGTTCTTGAGTATTTAGTTTGCGTGTTGTATTAACAGTGATTATTCCATAACGATATATCTTGTAACATGTTCCTTTTCGTATTGTGTCATACCAATAACAATTGAACAATACAACTCCATTTCCTTTTGTGTAACGGAGCTCAATAATATCGCCATATTTCCTCAGTCATCTAGACTCTCCTTGGAAAGGGAAAGAGTCAAGATAGAGCATTAGGCACTGCACATCCTCGGTCATCTAGACTCTCCTTAGATCGCCATATTTCCAATGAGTCATCACATGATAACGAAATGCAAGAAACAAGTGTGATTTATTTTGAATTTTCTTTGTATATATGTATTTCAATTATATGATTAGTTCTCTATTAATTTCCAATTTTTTGCTCTATTATAAATTGTAGCCCGGGCAAGAAAGAGAAAGAATCAGAATAGAGCATCCTACATTACAAATCCTCAGTCATCTAGACCTTCCTTAGACCAACATGATGACCTTATTGAGCCATCACATGATAATTAAATGGAAGACATGCCTCTTGAAACTGAACCATCAAATG